GGGATTAAACAAGTAAAATATAATCTAAGGTGGGAGTCTCTTTGTGTCACAGGATTCTCGCCTCGACTGACTGGACATTTGACACTTATAATTGATACTGGCGCCGAGGTTAATTTGCTAAAAAAGAATTGTATTAAACCTTCAACAAAAATTGACAAGACGGACTTACTACAGTTGACAGGAATCACTCTTGAAAAACAGAACAAACTGGGTACTTTAATTATTCGCATATTCGGGGAAGACGTTTTATTTCATTTAGTCGACGAGAACTTCCCCATTCATTTCGACGGTATCTTGGGGATGGATTTCCTAGGATCCAGATCCGCTATTATTAATAATACCCTCGAATGTTTGAATTTTAAGAATATGTCCATATCCTTTTCAAGAAGCGAAAGTATTTGCGTTCCGTCACGTTCGTCTAAAATTCCTTACTGCTACATTAAAAACTTGGAAATTTCAGAAGGTTTCATGTCCCTCTTACAGCTTCCAACTGGTATTTATGCTGTCAAAGCTTTAATTAAAAATAGTAACGGTAAAGGATTTTTCAAGATTTCAAACACTACATCAAAGCAATATATGTTTGAAATCCCGCGTTTGGAACTTTCGGATTTTAGGGAGGATACTCTTCTAAATTCAGGACCCAATACTAGTAACAAAACTAATGCTCCTGACTCGTCCGAGATCCTATCCATTATCCATACAATTTTCACCGAAAAGAATGGAAAAGAGTGTCCTAAGTTAAATACCCTTGAGGACAAACCTTCCTTTATATTTTCTCAAACTGAATCTGTCAGAGCACTTCTCCTCCTCAATCACCTGAATTTAGAAGAGGCACGATCTGTTTTCAAGTTAATAGAAGACAACGCAGACATTTTCCATTTACCGGGCGAACCCCTCGGATGTACGGACATACTGAGGCACAAAATTTTTACGACCGATAACGTTCCTGTGCATACAAAACAGTACCGATTTCCACCTGTCCACAAAGAGGAAATCTTACGTCAAGCATCCGAGTTATTAGAAAATGGTATAATAAAACCATCTTTTTCGCCTTATAACTCTCCTTTATGGATAGTTCCAAAGAAAGCGGATTCTGGAGGAAACCCCAAGTAGAGAATGGTAATAGACTACCGTAATTTAAATGAAAAGACAGTAGGTGATGCCTACCCCATTCATAATATAACGGAAATACTTGATCAGTTAGGGGCAGAAAAAAAACTCCATCTTTGATTTAAGATCGGGTTTCCACCAAATAAAAATGCATCCCAAAGATCAAGCTAAGACAGCATTTTCAAAACCATATGGCCATTACGAATTTATCAGAATGTTATTTGGTCTTAAAAACGCGCCGGCAACATCTCAATGATTGATGGATTACGTTTTACCCGGGTTGCAGGGCGAAGAAATGTTCGTGTATTTAGATGACGTAGTCCTATACTCTAGATCGCTGAGCGAACACGAGTCTAAATTTGGAAAGCTTGCGCAAAGGCTACGTAGGGCCAATCTAAGGTTACAGCTCGATAAGTGCGAATTTCTGATGCGGGAGGTAATTTATTTGAGCCATATAATAATTGGAGATGGCGTAAAGCCAGATCCAAAGAAAGTGGTTGCAGTAAAAGAATTTCCTCGACCAAGAAACATTAAATCAATTAGAGAGTTCTTATGTCTCGCTGGCTATTACAGGAGATTCATACCTGCCTTTTCTAAATTGTCAAAGCAACTTTCTGACTTGTTGAAAAAGAACGTTCCTTTCATTTGGGGACAAACTCAGAAAAATAGCTTTTGTTCGCTGCGCGACATACTTTATAAAGAACCAATTTTGGCCTTTCCAAATTTTGAATTACCTTTCAATGTTACAACCGATGCTTCCGGATATGCGATCGGTGCAGTCTTAAGCCAGGGTCCCATCGGCAAAGATTTACCCATTTCATACTGCTCTCGAACATTAAACAAAGCAGAGATTAATTACTCTACCATAGAGCGGGAACTGCTAGCAATTGTTTACGCAGTAAACTATTTCCGACCTTATTTGTATAGTAGAGAATTTACATTAGTTACCGACCATCGACCTCTGGTATGGCTAAAATCGGTCAGAGTCCCCACTTCACGACTTGTGAAGTGGAGTCTTAAATTAGCAGATTACAAATACAAGATCGTCTATCGACCTGGTTCTGCAAATGTAAATGCGGACGCTTTATTGAGGAACCCCTCGGAAGTCGGCAAGGTATTACCTGTGGGTACAAGCGACTCAGGCGACCGCCTAATACAATTTGAACCTAACGAAAATCAGACCGATGGCGAAGACAGTGACATTGACATCGGTATAGACGATACAGACGTCCTCGACGTAACACCTAGCGAGGTCAATGACCTGACTGGATCTCCATGTGCTACGGGGGAGACAGACGACGTAAGCTCTGACAAGGGAAGTACGAGTGATTACAATATTCTTTGTTCCCCGTCGCGAGCGYGCGTTGATACTCACATGCGAATGCTTACGTCAAATTTAGGTATAACAAGAGAGCCATTAATTTTACGAAAAGACAATTTAGTAATTTTTACTCATCTAGAAGGCACGCCGTGTGACGCGGGTGCAAAACTTCTTAGCGAATCGAAACTTCTGTCCAAACTTAAAGACTTGACTTTAGCACGTGCTGAAGTTACTAATATTGGCAGGTTTCATTTAATTACTATTCCAATAAAGGAACATTGTGCGAATAGTGTTAAGTACGAAATTTTGATAGAAGCGTTGGAGTCTTTTTCTCGCTGTTACACGCGAATTGGGTCTCACCTCAGTTAGCATAGCAAAAAATTTTTACTTTGACAATATATCATGGCAACAAGTTCAAAGAAAACTAAGTAACGCATTCGAATTCGAGTCTGGCAAAATTATAATTTGTGCTGGAAAGGTGACAATTCCTTCTCCAGAGAAGCGAGAAGAAATATTTGTCGAATGCCGCTCCTCGCCTGTCAGTGGACATAGGGGGGTTACTAAAACTAATGCCAGAATTCGTGAAAAGTATTTTTGGAGAAACATGAAACAGGATGTTCATGAGTTCGTAAGAAACTGCGAAAGTTGTCAAATAAAAAAATTAACCAAAATAAAGTCAAAAGAACCGATGATTGTCACTTATACGCCAGGAGCTGCGTTCGACAAGATAGCTATGGATATAGTAAGACCGTTACCAGAAACAAAGACTGGTAACAAATTTATTCTTACTATACACAGGACCTCTTGACTACATTTTTTATTGCTGTACCTCTTAAAGCAGCAACATTAGTGGAATGGTTCAAAATTTTTGTAATATATTTGGTGCCCCAAAAATTATACATACAGAACAGGGGATCAATTTCACTAGTTCTCTTTTAAAGTCTATTGCACGACAGTATAAATGCAAACAGATTAGAACTACAGCATTCCATCCGCAATCAAATGGTTCTTTAGAGCGATCACACATTGTCTTGATCGAATATTTAAAACATTTCATTAAAAAGAATCGAGAGTGGGATGAATGGCTCACACATTCTATGTTATCTTATAATACAAGCATGCATGAGGGGACGAAATTCACTCCTCATGAGCTAGTCTTTGGTAAACAAGCTTATATCCCCTCCGAAAACGAACATACGAATGGAAATCTCGATAACACATATCYTAAATATTATCTGGATCTAGTTCATAAGATACGTTGTTCGCAAGTGGTGGCAAGACAGAATTTGGTGGGAGCAAAAATAAGATCCAAAGTCTACTATGATCGTAAGGCTCGTGGTCAGAACCTCGTTGTTGGCCAGAACGTTCATCTTTTAAAGCAGCCAACATCTAGATTAGGAAATCAATACACCGGCCGATACCAAATTCTCGAAGTGCTTCCTAAATATAATATAAAGATTAGTTACAAGAATAGGACCAGAATTGTTCACAAAGATAAAGTGAAAATCTGTGCGAAATAAGCCTACTCTTTCAAATATTAACTAATACTTTTAGACTTGTTATTGTTTTTTACCTACATAGTTACTAAGTATTGGGGCTGGAGTAAATTTTTCTTTTTATATACAGTTAAAGGTAGTGTCAGTGGGGGAATCTCCCACTCTACTCTAAAAGGCACTACATAGAGAGATGCATAGCTTCTTATAGACGATTTATAACCAGCATCCACAAGCGAACAAATTGAAAAAAAAAATAAATACCTTCTGTACACAATAGTCAGTCAATCTCGACCTCAAGGAATCTCGACTCCTCTCAAGCTATCTACTAAATAATTTTTTATTTTTTTTAATATTACCTAGTGGTTAACCTCGTAATTTTATAAATTTGTTTAGCACCTAATTTTTCTCGAACTTCATGAACGATTCAAACTTGTAAATTTACTTTCGACAAAATCGTTCTTGTTATTAAAATGAAGTTAAACCGTGCTAAACTACGGCAGCTTTTACAGAAATGTCGTAATGAGTTACGAAGCATAATACAATTTGTTACTTTTCGTTTTTTTTATAAGAAAGGCTCATTGGAGTTGCTTGACGCTATCATCGATCATGCAATGATACGCTAAACAAGCTTGAGACGAGTTTCTATTAGTTCGCATTTAAATATAGTTTATTAAAATTTATATTGAATCAACATTGGTTTCAAAGAAGTATGTACGTCAAAATCACAATCGTCGTGGCCGCATTCATCTGTACGACGACCGCACTACTTGGATATGACTGCGGAGGAGCAGCTGCTACCATTATCACCGTTTCGCTCCTTGGTACGGGGGATTGCAACCTCTCTACACTAACGCCGACAAAGAAAACCACATACGTTCAGCATGTTGCAGTTAGAAGACCATAGTGAAACAACAGTTTACCAGTGCTGAATTGAGATAGATCGAACAATTTACTACTGCGATCTATAATAAACACTGGCATGTTCGCTCTCAACTCTTTCACGCAGGCGAGTGGCCTTAAGGTTAATACCACGGATTACCGGAACATCACTTTAGCTGGATCAGTGAGTACCGATGGCAGATGCCTTTATACGTGTATTTCCTGGTAAAGTGTGTACTGATATGAAGGCCCGTATTATGGGACCAAACTTCCAACCCGAAAAGAAAGAGGATTTGTATGAGAAAGCTATTCAACGTACTATCTCGATGATGGATCGTTACGTTGAAGCCATTAAAGATGCACCTTCTAGTAACAATTGTAGACTTGTCGGTGTTTATCAATTTTTGGTCAAAACAGGTACCATTACTACGTTTAAGGATGCACATAATATGAAAGTTATGAAATTCTCGGTTTCTCCTGTTGTACGTGTAGCAGTTGAACCCAAGAATCCTGCAGATTTGCCAAAATTAGTTGAAGGTTCGAAACGTCTTTCTAAGTTGGATCCTATGGTGCAATGTATCATCGAAGAATCTGGAGAGCACATTATTGCTGGTGCTGGTGAACTTCACCTTGAAACCTGTTTGAAAGATCTTGAAGAAGATCACGCCTGTATACCAATTAAAAAGTCTAATCCTGTCGTATCATACAGAGAAACTATTGCGGAACATACTAATCAGATGTGTTTGTAGAAATCACCGAATAAACATAACCGTCTTTTCATGATAGCTTGTCCAATGCCTGATGGTCTTGCCAAAGATATTGACAATGGTGAAGTTTTGTTTAAGAAGAGGAATTCTTCAATAGGGTTGATGCTTTAGGAAGCACTCAATAATGGACTCTTTCGTGCTTCTCCTTTAAAGGGGGAGGTGTCACGTCCTAGCGACGACTTTGTATGGCAGGGCGTACTATCCAATGTAAATAAAATAGTTGCGGTTTATCTTTCTGTCATATTATAATTTAAATTTTTGTTACTTACATTATAAGCACTCTTATGAACGACCATCAATGGTTATTATTTTGTCAGCATGTACTATTAGTATAAACCTGTGTCGATTGTCGTTCATAGGTTAACCTGCCTTACCTACACTACCGACTTGTGTTAGTAACCACTTAGTTAATGTAACAATTACTATTCCTTTCTCACGAATTGGTGATGGTCGGTAGTGGAGGGGGAATTTAGACGCGAGTTGGGGTACCTCCCACTTAGCCGTGCTGGGCTCGTGAGTCACGGACTCCTAGCTTACGATCTACCAAAAACAACGAAATGACTCATTCGCGAATATTTACTTAGTTAATAACCTCTGTTCTAATAAAAGGTATTTACGCGTTTTTTTTTGTACAACAAATTTAACAACGATTTAATCCAGAAGGTAGCGAAAATTTCTTTTTAGATATATTAAAAAATTTTTAGCGACAGTCAAGATGGGCTATTAGAAACAAAACAGAATGGATGTCAGGTTTATTACAATTGAGATTTGTTGAAAAAGAATTGAAATCTTCACGTAAAGTAACCCAAAAAAAGTTGTTATAAAATGATTTTTTCTCTTTTTTTTGACTGCAGTAGTCGAAATATAAATGATATTTGCTGAATTTGATTAGACGTAACACTTTTTTTATGTTAGTGTACGCTTAAAAACTTTAAAGAAAACGTCTTATAGCTTTAGCTATATAGCACTTGTGTAGAAATTTTATAGTTATTAACTACAATTTATTCGAGAAAGTAGCGAGAATTTCTTTTAAATATATTAAACACTTTTTAGCGGCAGTAAAAATGGGCTACCAAAAACTAAACAGAATGGATATCAGGAATATAACTATCAAGTTTCGTCGAAAAATAATTGAATTCTTCACGTAAAGTAACTAATAAAAGTTGTAATAAAATGATTTTTTCTCCTATTTTTGACTGCAGTAGTTAAAATATAAATGATGTTTGCTAAATTTTTTCTGACTGAACACAATTTATTTGTAAGTATGCGCTTTAAAGCCTAAATTGAAACGTTTTATAGCTTCTATAAAATAGCACTTCGTTAGAAATATTATAGGTTTCAACAAATATTTAATCCAGAAAGCAGCGAAAATTTCTCTTCAATATATTGAAAATTTTTTAGCGTCGGTAAAAATGTGCTATTAGAAAAAAAACAGAATATATGTTAGGTTTACTACAATAGAATATCTTCAAAAAAGAATTGATTTCTACACGTGAAGTAACTAAACAATGTTATAAGAAAATAATTTTTTCTCTTTTTTAAGACTGCAGCTGTTGAAATGTAAATTATATTTGCAAGATTTTTTCAGAATTACACTTTTTATTTTATAGTGTACGCTATAAAACATGAAAGAAAACGTTTTATAACTTTTGTTATATAGCATTTTTTTAAAAACCTGATAGTTTTTACCTATTATTCAATCCAGAAAGAAGCGAAAGTTTCTCATAAATATATTAAAAAATTTTTAGCAACTGTAAAAATTTGCTATTAGAAACTAAACAGAATAGATTTCAGGTTGCCTACAATCGAGTTTCGTCAAAAAAGTATTGAAATTTACACGTAAAGTGACCAAAAAAAGTTAAAATAAAGTGATTTTTTCTCTTTTTTTAGACTGCAGTAGGTAAAATGTAAATATTATTTGCTAAATTTTATTAGACCTACCACTTTTTATTTTTAAGTATACACTTTAAAACTTGAAAAAAAACGTTTCACGGCTTTTGTTATATAAAACTTCTTTAGAAATCTGATAGTTTTCAACTACTGTTTATTCCAGAAAGCAGCGAAAATTTCATTTTAATATATAAAAAATATTTCTTTGACGGTAAAAATGTGCTATTAGAAACTAAACAGAATAGATGTTAGGATGCCTACAATCAAGTATTGTTGTAAAAGAATTGAATTCTAAACGTAAAGAAACCAAAAAAAGTTTTAATAAAATGATTTTGTCTAGTTTTTTGACTGCAGTAGTTGAAATAAATATGATATTTCCTAAAATTTTTGGACTTTCCACTATTTATTTGTAAGTATACGCTTTAAAGCTTGAAAGAAAACGTT